TGCTCCTCCTCGTTGACATAGACCCAATTGTGGAAGCCGATGATGGTGCCGTTCTTAACCTCATGGACGAACACATGCTCGAATCCGGAACTGCCAATCTTGCCCTGACCCCGTGAATATTGTGTGAACCACAGCTCCTTGACCAGATCACGATGCGTTTTCGGATCGGGTGTCACTAAACCCTTCTGCTGCAGGAACAACATCGCTGCTCGCATAACACTGGTGGCCATGACTGCATCGAGGAACTCGTTCTCCTCCTTGCGCTCGTTAGCGGTCACATGCTCGTTGACCAGGGTATCCTGCTCATAGTTGTTGAACAGCAGACGCATCTTGGCTATGGTCAGTGGCTCCAGGGCTTTGGCATTGACGCTCAAAAGACTGTCCAAAGAAAGGTCAAGGAAATTTGTGGAGCTTTCTGGAATGATTTCAGCTGAGCTGAGCTTCTACTTACGGCTGTGGCGCCTCATCGCCGCTATCAATGGAGCGCGTGCGTCCTTGTAAATTGACTGTGATCTGGCTCAGCTGACTGTTCGACTCCTTGTTGTAGAGCTGTTCGGTTAGTTGACGTATCTCATCGTCGGTTGCCACTGAGTTGCCCGAGGATTGGAAGCCCGGGCGCACGGTAGTTGTCTCGCCAGGTGTGTGCGGCACAAAGGAGACACCCGATGAGCCATGAGTAGAGGTGCCACCAGCTGTGGTGGTGGTGGTGGTGCTGCTGCTGCCACTGCCAGCTGGTGTTGTGGGCGTAACCCCAGGAGCTGGCTTGACAGCCGGCACAGCTGGATGCACTGGCGTGGGCAGCGGCACCTGCCAGGCTGAAGGCGAAGTTGGCGTGCCGGGAGCTGGTGAACCTGGTGAGCCTGGTGTGCGTGGCGTGGGCAACGCTGGAAAATCTTCCTTAATCGACGGACGCCGCGGCGCAGGCAAACTGGGGAACTCATCCCGGTGCTGCTGGCCGGGCCTCACGGTGGTCGTCGTCGAGCCGCCAAAGCGCAGATCAATGTTGCCTGGCTGCACATTGGTGAGTGCTCGGGGCGTGGTTGTTGTCGTGGTTGTCGTAGTGGTGCTGCTGGTTAGCGGCGCCAGACCAAAGCCGGGATGTGGCGCTGGACCTCCACCGGCAGCGGCGCCACCGCCCGAATAGCTCAAATCAAAGCCGCTGGGCTGCGGCTTCTGCGGACGATATGGCGCAAAGCCCGGCGGCAAATTGGGAGCTGTCGAGGCGCCTGCACCACCCAAACGGCCAGCTGGCAAGCTAGCCGGCGTTGTGCCACCCACATGATGCTGCTGCTGCTGCTGCTGCTGGTGTCCATTGGCATTGGCTGCGGGCCACTGTGGTCCGTGAGCGGACGGAGCACCGATGGGCGATGAGCTGGGCGTGTCGGGCCGTGGACCCAGTGGCATTAGCGGCGCATGCGAGATGACCAATGGCGGTGGTTTCTGGGCTGGCGTTACGGCCGCAGCGGATCTAACGGTGCTCGTTGCGGGCCTCACTGTGGTCGTTGTCGTGGTGGTTTCACTGTTGCTGCTGCCGCCGCCAAAGAACTTCTTGAAGCCGCCAAACCAGCCGGACTTCTTGGTCGTCACCTCCACATCGGGCTCTGGAGTTATCTCGATCTCGCTCGTATAGCCAGCTGTGGATCGGACAAAGGCAGGTAAGTTCGTTATTAATGGCCCACCTCTGGAGCCTCGGCGTTTACCTACCTGCAATTTGGCTCTGGCTGGCAATCACAGCGCAAACAAACAGCGCGCTCAATGCCAGGTAACGCATTTTGTTGCTGTTTCTGCTCTTTTTTTTATGTCTTTTTGTTTTTGTATTTCTTTGTTATTATTTTTGTATTTTCGTTTACTTGTTGTTTGAGTTTTTATCACCTTGCTCGAACACAACCAACTGGTCAGAGATTCAGCGCACGACTGAGACCAAACACCAGAGACACGACTTCCAGCGGCTCGACGCTGCGAAACACTTACACACGGCCATCCGCCTCATCTCGGCTGTGTGCTTTGTTGCTTTTATTTTTTCCTTTCCGAATACCCTGTTATTATAGTGTGCAGTTGAGAAAGTGTATATTGGCCACATGGTTTCGTTTGCCTCCTTCTGTAATATACCTGTTATTTGCATCTGCAGCTATGTTCATATGTCTGTATGTTCATCTGTATGCCTATCTGAGAGAGAGAGAGATAGAGAAGGGAAAAAAAGAAAGAAGTTGAGAGACGTTTTTACTCATTGTATTCATCATATATATGTATCGATCTTACTATATCTCTCTCTTTCTCTTTGTCTTTCTTTCTATGCCTCGGTCTCTCTCTATCAGTCCGTCGGTATGTCATTTTTATGCTCTTGTTCCCTCTCTATTTTTCTCTCTGTTTGCTTCCTTTTCTATCTCTCTGCCTACCTGCATGACCATCTGTTCCCTTCTGTTTTTTGTCGCTATCTCATTTATCTCTCTATCTGTTCTCTGTCTATCTCTCTCTCTCTCTCTCTCCCCCTCTCTACTTCCCCTCTCTTCCCGCTCTCTATCCTCGCTCTCTCACTCCCTCTCTCTCTCTGCGCGCTCTCTCCCTCCATTTCTCTCTTTCTCTCTCTTGTTCTCCCCCTTTCGCACTCTCCTCATTCTCCTTTTCCTCTCAGCTTCCTTTCTACCAACTCCCTCTATGAGTCAACCCTTCTGTATGATCTACGGGACTCTGCTCAGCTGTCTAGACCTTCATAGCGTATCTGCTAGTCAGGCACGCTCAACTGTTGCACTCTTACTTATATTTCTGTTTGTATTAATGAGCTGATGTAGCTGCTGGCGCACAGCATTTAGCGTGGGCTTAGGTTGACGATCGCAATTGCGCTACCTTAATTAATTTAGGGCATTTCAGTTCAACTGTCCTCTACATAGGCTGAGACTGTACCTGCCCCAAGTCCCTGAAGCCAAAAGCCCTTCAGCCATGATAGATCAGCTGAAAGCTACAGTTTGTACCACTAGAAAACAACAAAAAAAACAATATATAGAGAAATATATATGTATATATATTTGCCAATAAGGCTATAAAGCTGATTAGCGCTCTGCTCTATTTAAATATCGAAAACAGGTTTCAAGACCACATTGAAACCTGTAACTCTGAGCGAGCTCTGAGCGCGATTTAAGCACTGCCAATTCGTATGAATTTATAGAAAATGGATTAAAATTGAATACTATCATTCATAATACGAAGAACTGTGATATTATAACAGAAATCCAGCCTGAATCACCATACCTGATAGAGCTGGGCTGTATTGTGTATGGAATAACCGATTCTAACCGTTGCAATAAATAACCGATTCGGAGGGTTGTAATGTGATTCAAAAATACCCGATACGATCTTAAAAAATAACTGTTGCGAACCGATAATAACCGATTCAAACATTTTTCATATATGTAAATTATGTTTTTACTGCCAAAAAATGACCGGTTTGTAGAATTATAGCTACTATTATAACCGTTTCATACCATTTGAGCTGCAGTGCATTGTGAAGTCGTTGTACTCGAACCTTTTTCGCTGCCTGAATTCATTTGAACTTGCGAGAGTTAAGAGGGTTGAGGGTTGTAGATTTTTTTTTTTTTAGAATGTGCCGCAATTATGTTATATGCAGAGCTTAATAGTTCGCTTTAATTGCAACCGGGGGAAAAATGCTGAAAAGCGAATATAGAATTTGTACATTTGATTTGATTGGATTTGATTTGATTTGATGACTTACATAAAATGCTAATAAACAAAATGCTGTCTCTTAAAGCTTAGCTAACACTTTATTTTCCCCTCTCTCTCTCGCTCTCTCTCTCTCTCTCTCGCTATCTCTTTTGCAAAATAGAGCCGTGCTCTTGGGGCAACGGGGCAAGTCGTGGGGGTAAGCGAACGACCCCAATTCCGTTTCGACTCGTCACAATTATAAATTGCACTCTCGATGTTTCTTCACGATTCAAAAAGCGAGGTATATTGATTAGGGAAAGCTTTTTCGATATCATTGAGTATGAATGTCTTTAGGTTTGTGCGAAAATTAATTTGATAAAAATCTATTAATAGTAAACCTAAAGATAGAAAGCGTTCTATATCTGTATCTACCCATAGAGTACCCACGTATCCCTTCATATTACTCCTGCCATGGGTGTCCCCAAGTCGTGCTCATCCCTTGAGATCACTTTTACTTGAATCTGTTTAAATGTTGTTTGCTTTGAGCTATTTCTAACAAATAACAAAAACTGAAAACTTGAAACTGAGGAACGCTTATCAATTTCAAATGGAAAAAAGGCCATTGGAAAAGGTTAAGCATTCATTATATGTATATTCTATATATATATACATATACATACATATATATTAAAACATCAATATGAACACTCTCATTGTGTACACATCCGTTGGATAAGGTAATTGGATAGATAATGCCTGAGTGAATTTGAATAGTTTCGTATTTAAAAATTTGCACCGTTTTTGGGAAGTATTCTCTATACACATTCCTTTCTCCTCCTTCTACTTTTCCTTTTCTTCAGCACTGTTTTATTCTCTTATTGTCTCTTCTCTTTGTTTGCCCCTTTCTTCTTGGCTTTCTTTTTCACTTTCCTTTGGGGTTTGCTTTACTTTTGTTTATTCGTTCGTCTCCTTCTATAATACTAATTTCCCACTTTCGTACTCTCTTCCTACTCTGTCTTCCTCACCCACTTTCTCCTTCTGCTGCTTCTCTTTTGCCTCCTCATTGTCTTTTCTTTCTGCCTTTCTCATTCTCTTCTGCTGGTTCTTATATTTTACTCTTCTTTTACTCTTGGTGTTATCACTTCTTTCCACTTCTCTGAATTGTTCGTATGTCTTAGAACCAGCTCGAAGAAGCTTTTAAATGTTGCATACATTTAGACTTGTATTTATATCTGATCTTATATGGTTGAATGCATGCATACATACTATATATATGTTTCCCACTCGGGTGCTTTACACCAGGAAAAAAAATCGTATTCAAATACCCATTAATTTCCAAAGAATACCAAACAAAATTTTGAATGTATTGTGATTTCTAAAAATTATTATTAGAAGGATCTTTCACAGAATCAGAATAGAAAAAAAAAAAAATGGAAGCGAAGCTTGTCAAACGCTTTTATGGATTAGCTTTCTGCGTATTGTCTCGTCCAAAGGGGGAATTGCTTCACGTGGTATTAGGAACGTAGACAAGTTGAATAGATCCAGGAATACTTTGTACCGATCGCTGAAAGTGAAACAAACAGACGATCAATGATCGAAGATCAGGTAACAGCCACCTGTGTTCACCCACCTGAGTGTGGAGCGTAGATATTGATAGCCGGATGAGCCGCCAGTGCCCAGCTGTTGGGATCCGATCATGCGTTGCACCATGATCACATGATTGTCTAGGCAAGAAAAGTAAAAGTGAAATGCGATCAACACAGAGCGAGAGAGACAGAGAATGAGAGTGCGAGTGCGAGTGAGCTGGCATTCACTTACAGCGCCATTTCGTGATCAGCGAGTCAATGTCCATGAGCAGGGTCAACAGCTGATGGGGCTGGCTGAAGCGTGGCTCGTCCCTATAGAACGTGATCATGATGGCGCCCTGAAGCGCACGATGGCTAAAGCGACGATCACCGCGTTTCACCAGCGCATCATGCACAGCCGGATCGAAAATGGAGCGATAGACCTCTCGTCTCTTCTCGATATCCATGAGGCGATAGTTTTTCGCCCGCTCCACCGGCTCCAGCATTGCGCTCTGCACTTGGGCGGCCAGAAACTGATCGACACTTTGCTGGAACTTGGCCCAAAAGTTGAAGCCATCCTCCTCCAGGCCCGGCGTCCGTTCCAGCCAACGCTGCACCAGCGTCAACAGCGACGGTGAATCCTCCGAGTCGCGTATGGCATGCAATGCCTTTTTATCATTCCCGAACACATCCGTATATTTCTGATTATACTTCACACGCTGCTCGGTCAGCACGCCCAGCTTGTTCTCGATCAGTCGAAACTGCAGCGACTGAAAGCCAGAGGCGGGCGCCAAATACTTGCGAAAGTCCATGAAATCCAATGGCGTCATTGTCTCCAATATGGGCACCTGATCGACCAGCAGCTGCCAGAAATCGAAACAGAGAATTGTAATGTAAATCGGTAATATCATAAGATCTGTGCGAAGCCGAATGACAGTTGGAATTCATGGAAAGTGCTATAAGATGTATGAAAACAGTAATATATGGGCAATATCATAAGAAAACCTATATATACAGAGTACTAAAAATGGTTAAGAAATACGAAAGAAACCGGAACAGAACATTAGTGGGAATTCTAATTTTACTCAAAATGATTTATATGAAATTTTTGGATCGCTATCGAAAAAGGGATTTTGACTATTTGTGAAATATCATAAGTTAGTAGGAGTAATTGTGGATAGAAGGAAAAAGTTTGCTCTGATGATTTTCAAATATCAAAGCAGAGCGCTTTAATATAATATAATATTATAATATTCAAATTTTGTAAGGAGATGAAGAAGAATGAAGAGTGCAAAACGAGAAATGAAAACTGAAGAATGCACATGGACCAATACGTGGGCTCCATATCGATATAGATTTATTTAGCTTGCCTTAAGATCGAAGCACAATATCTCAAGATTAATCATTCCTAAGTCAATCTGATTACCAAGATTTAAGAGTCTTTGATAAATGTGTAATTTAAGCAGCCGTTTGAGATGCCGCCGATGGCTATACATTTATGGCGATACATTTAAGGTTGCTACCTCATAGGTGTACAATTTTTAATAGAGGGATAGCTGGCTGTTAATTATTTTATTAAAACGATATAATTATGTTTAAGATCTCTATTGTATTCAAGAAATTAGGGAGATTTGTTGCAAAGTTAAAGTGAAGCTCATTTTTGTATATGTATGATATTTAATGCATATGTAAAGATTTCATGCATTTATAAATATAATAATTGAAAGATTGTTGTTAAGGATATATAATTAAGAACTGAATTAAGCTATGTACAAGATCTATGTGGAGATCGTACTTAGATTTTTTTTATGGGAACAGCTTGAAATGATCAGTGATAGATCATCTCATATATATCACTATATAAAGCTATGATCGCTTACCTTAAGTATGAGGACGACGCGATTTAGGCGTTTGACAATTTCCAGTGTTTTGGTCTCATCGATGACCTCGGCGTCGAGCATATCACGTATGGAATCGAACTCGAAAATGATTTGCTTAAACCACAGCTCATAGGCTGAACCAAGGCGCAAAGATAGAGAAACAAATAGTTGGCCAGAGTGAGAGAGGTATATATGGAGAGTGTGAGAGAGTGAGAAAGAGAGTTGTATTCACCCTGATGCGTTATGATGAAGAGATGTTCATCGTGCACCGGCCTCTTATCCTCCATGGAGAGCATGCACTGTGCGTCCAGCAGCTTGTCCAGCATCAGATATTCCCCATAGATCTTGCCCACCTCATTGGACAGCGGAATGGCGCCATCGTCGTGCTCGTTGCTGTGATTGAGCTCAGAGTGTGTGTGAGTGATGCTTGCTTCTAGTTGCCTATTCAACAACAATTTTGATGCTCACCCGTTGCTGGCATAGGGGCAGCTCATGATTGGACTACAAGTGGATCGATGCGACTCGCTGTACGTCGAGCGACAGACTAAATCGCCATCCAAATCAAATATATATATATATATATATATCTACCCGATGTCCGTCTTAATCAACAAACAACAAGTTGGCAGTTCCAGCCCAGCGCACAGCTGCCAACTCTAGCTTGGCGTTGAGGTCTGATAGCCCTCATATATACCCTGTAAATTGGGATTCGTATGTGAACACATTCATGATTTACATATTTACATTTGTTTTCGTTTATTGCACATAAATGAAACATGAAATATTACATTGCTGACTATTATATATGAGTATGTATATTTTGTATACTTCATATAAATAGTATACTAATCGATTATTATCGATACACCCTTATAAAACTGATTACTATCTAAATTAAAGTATATATATGTAATACATAACTTATAAATTGATCGAATGCATGTTCAAATCGATAATAATCGATAAACGATCAATGTTGAGCCACAAAAATCGCATTATCGACTGAAGTCCAAAAATGATATATCGGTTAACATGCAATTGTGAGATATAAAAACTCGATAGCTATTGACAAAATATTGAAGTCGATAACATTTACATTCCGATAAGTAACGAACAATATCAGCCTGCAAAAAAGGAATCTAATAAAAATTCACCGAATGAATGTAGAATAATATATCTACTTATTAGATATTAGATAATATTATATATTGTGTATCAAACTATAATAAATCGATGCATATAGAAATATACAAAAATCGATAAATCAAGGGATATAACAAATCGATAAACAGAACAGAAAACAGAAAAATGGACAACTAAGCATTTGAACGATGTAGCGCAGAGCTAGAGGAAGTTCAGCTACAGGATAACTGTAGGTCGCATACGCCTCTCTATCCTTATCTATCGCATGGCGCTCTGCGGCTTATCAATGAAGGGTTCGAAGAAGCTAAAACTAAAATCAACTTTCTCATACTCTCCCATATTGAATACGTCAATGTACAAAATGAAAACAACAATTTGGTTTTGTTTTGTTGTTTTTTGTTTTTTTTTTTCTTTTAATATAATTTTGTTTGTGTTTAAAATTTATTTTTGAGTCCTTGGCTCAGTCATATTTTTAAATTTCTTCTCTTTTTCTCTTGTGTTCGTGTTATATAGTTTAATGTAATACTATTCATATATATGTATATGTGTGTGTATATATGAAAACATACATATATATATTTGTGTACATATATATATATATATATGTATATATTCATATATACATAAATATATACATATATGCATATACATATATATATTTGTTGTTGCTTAATTTATTAATGAATACATATTTTATTCTCTTCTTCTTTTTCTTCTTGTTGTTGCATGCCACAAAAAAAAGTCAATCAATATTCAATATTTTAGTGTATATGTATATATATATATATATATATATATATATATATATATATATATATATATATATATATATATATATATATAGTATATACGATATATATCGTATATGTATATATATATATATATATATTTAATTTTTATAATTTGTCAACTACATTTTGCATAGAAAAAATTTAGTTATAGCTGATATTCAGACAATTCAAAAAACACAAACATATATAATGTATATTCTATATATATATATATATATATATATACTTATATATCGTATATATGTATATATTTTTAAATATGCAAATCGCGCTGCTTTTGTCAATTCAAAAATGTTGTTTTTATCCTTTTTTTCAATATTTTTTTTCCGACAATATATTTGTTGTTTTTTTTTTTTTTTTGCTTTGGTATATTTTGTTGTATTATATATTATACGACTAACTTCGTTTAGCATTCGAGCTCTACATCTAAATTTCTATATTTTTATTATATTTTATTTCTATATATATCGATAGCTCTAACTAACTCGGGCTTCGCGTTGTCTCTGTGCTGCTTTGTAGTAGATATTATTTATAATATATATATACATACATATAAGTATATATATTTATATAAACATAGGTGTATACATATACATATATATATATATTTATATATATAGACATGAACGCAATTTGTGATTTCGTTTAAAAATAATATTCAACTTATTTTGTTTCGTTTTTTCATTATCATTATTATTATATTTTCGTTTTGTGAGTACTATATATACTAGTATATAGTTATCTTGTATATTTTCATACAATCAATTTCCATACTTTTCCATTTATACCTGTTTCAAGTTAATCCAACAAGCAAAATATTTCTTTCGTTCTATTTATTTATTTATATTTTCGTTTTCGTGCTGCTTTGGCACTTGGTTTTTCTTTTTCCTCTTTTCCCTTAGAAGTAAATGATTTTTACGAATGATACAATAGATAGCATACACATATACATATACACATGTTTGTGTGCATATATGTATATGTCTGTTCTTTATGAAACCCAAACAAACTGTAGCTCACAAAATATATATATATATACTATATACGCATTGTAGCGAATGAAAAAAGATTTCAAGTTCAACTCAAACCAAAAGCATTTTCTTTATGACTACTCGAACTACAAATACCCTTTGCAGAACTAATACAAAATTGTTGAACTATATATACTATATAATATATAAAGATATATATAGATATATGTTTGTAATGTGTAGCATAAGCTTAAGAAATGAAGTGAAATTAGTTATATGAACTCATTATTTCGTTGTTCTAAGTATATCAAATGCTATTACCCATTTATATAGACCTGTGCATATACATATATATGTATATATATATATATATCATTTTTTTGTTCAATCAAAACTTTTCTGACAACTCAAAAAATATATATATGTATATAGATTCCATATTTTTTATTATACAGTAAAAAAAAAATACACAAACAATCAATTGAAATTATAATTATTAATTTTAAATTGAAAAAAAAAAAAAATATATATATTTATAATTAATTAATAATACTTAAATATATAGTCGCTAGTTATAAAGTTCGCATATTAAGTTAATTAATAGCTCGAAAAAAAATACAATTTTCATACATATGTTTGTATAATTTTGTTTTTTGGTTTATCTTAATACTCGTTCACATGCTAAAAGGTGAGCATATTGGGCTTATCTGCATGTACTTAAAACTTAGTTTGTGTATTGGTGGCCTTAGAGAAGAGACTGCTGGAGACTAGAGTCTAGACCGACTGAGCCTATATAGCTCTTAGCTATGTACATTTGTGAACGCAAGGCATTGGAAGGTATTGTCGATCTAGATTAGCCTCTAGGCCTAATCTATTAGACCAGACTGCTATATTTCATAGAGGAAAATTGAAAATTTGAAGCCAAGCTCGAGAGGCCTTACTTTCCATGGAGATTACTGGGATAATAAGTTTTTCAATATTCGGAAAAAATTTTTCCGAAGCTATTTTTTTCAACAAATTGTTTTTTGCAGCGTGAACAAGTATTATGCAGTCGGTTACGCCCGACAGCAAATTTGCATAATTTTGTTTGGTTTTGTTTTGGTAATTTTTGTTATATATTTTTTATTTTTATTTTTTTTTTTTTGTGGGTGAGAGAAAAGATTGGTTATAGCACCAAAATTGCACTACATTCAAATATATATAATATATATAATTTAATATAATATATTTAATTTATAATATAATTTAATTTCATTTATATATATATATATTTTTACTTAAAATCAAATGCATTGAGCAAACATGTTTTTTCCATAAAGCGCACAAAATTTAAATAAACCATTATATATATATAAAAAAAAAGTTTTCAATAAGAAAAAAACTTAAAATATTACTAATTAAATTTTTAACATTTTGGTATGTTTTTTTTTTCTCTCTTTTATCTTGTTGCATTTGTAGCACCCAGCATGATGTCAATAAATTCATGGACTTAATTTGGTTTCTTCTTCTTTCACTTTTGGTTGCTGTGTTATAACTTAAAAACAAAATCTATTCTTTTTTATTTTTTATAATTTTTTTTTTTTTAAATATTTAAATTCAATTCGATTTTTGTCATATTTAATCAGAGTATTTTCATTCCCGTTGCTAATACTAGTGTTTAGTGTTGTTAGCCTTACTAAATGTGCAGTGTTGCTCAAGCGATTTTACACAATGCAGACAGACAGTGAGAGCGAGAGTGAGAGTGAGAAAGATAGAGGGGTATAGTTAGTGAGTGAGACAGCAAGTGAGACGCTCGCTAGGATCAATGCGTTCAACAACAACGATTCCAAAACTAGAAAAGCAAAACAATTTTCACATTTTGATTGAGTGCCCCTCCTAGTACTTCTTTTCGACTGCTTCTCAACTGTGGGCGTGGCTCAGCCCAGGCCAGCACCACCGCCCAAGTGCACTGAAGTCGCTGACAACTCGACGCGTTGACATTGGCGGCGCTCAACAATCACCGCCGCTGGCAGCGACTATTCCAGCCCGGGTCATACGTTCATTGCATAATAAACGGATCCCTGTTGCTGTTGCTGCTGCTGCTGTTGCTGTTGTTGCTGCTGCTGTTGCTGTTGCTGCTGTTGCTGTTGTTGAACTGCTCCGCCTGTCGGCGAGACCATGGCACTGCAATCGCTGTGCGACACAGCTGCTGCTCCCTCGGGCACGCCCCGTTCGCTAAAGCCCGGCATGCCGCCCTCTGCTGCGAATTGATAATGCTGCGACATGAGACGCTGTTGCTGCTGCTGCTGCTGTTGTTGCTGCTGTTGCTGCTGTTGCTGCTGTTGTTGTTGCTGCTGCTGCTGTTGATGCTGCTGGTGTTGATGCTGTTGCGGATGCTGTGCGTAGTGGGCGGCATGACCACGCCCACTCACCACATGCAACTGCATGCCGGGCAGTGCATAGCCAATGGGCACGCGAATCGTTTGCTGTGTTACCTGAGCAAAAGTGAAAAAGAAAAGAACAATTTGAATTCAATTCTTAGCAAGTCGGCATACTAGACTACAAGATGCCCTGTAAAACGTAAGCGTGCTAAAGCTTTTCCGGAATCTATATTGATTTATAGGCTACGTCTAATCTAATCAAATCCCTGTTATCCTCTGCCCTCTTTCTGTCTTTCATTAGCTTTACCCATCAATCGCTATGCAGTTCAATCATTCGTTTTTCCTCTCTCTTTGTCATTCACCCTCTGGTCTATTTTTGGTCTTCCTCTTTATTTCCCTCCCTTTCTCTCTCTATATTTATTTGTCTCTCTCCGTTTCTGTCTATCTAACTCTACTTTTTAGAATCCTCTTCCCCTCTTTTCTTCCCATCTCGCTTCTTCTCAGCCTCCTATTCGTTTTCAGCCGCTGTTCTTCTCCGTCTCTTTCCCCTCGTATCTCTCTTACTTTCTCAGACTCTTAATCTCTCAATCATAGTATCTCGCCTTCTCGCTCTCTCATTCTCTCACTGTCTATCGCTCTATATTTCTTGATCTCTCAATTATATTTTTCTCCGTATATATATCTACTAATTAATTTTTGTATTCCACTTTTCATTCTTTTTCTTTCACTCTTTTTCTCTCATTCTTTCTCTGACTGTGTCTCCCTCCCTCTCCTCCACACATACTCTAAGCTTCTCTCTTTAACTGTCTACCCTGTCTACTATGTCGTCCCCCTCCTTCTCTCTCTCTTTCTCTCTCTCTTTCTCTCTCTCCCTCTCTCTTTCTCCTTAGCATTTTTTCATCTTTCTCCCTTCTCACCCTCACTCTCAACCCTATCTATCATCTCTATTTTTCGCCCCCTTCCCTCTTTCTCTCTGCCTCCTTAGCCTTCCTTCATCTTTCTCCCTCCTTCTCTTCCAAACTTACTCTAAGCTTCTCTCTTTTACTGTCTACCCTATCTACCATCTCTATTTTTCTCTGTCTTTACTCTTTCTCTCTCTCTTTCTCTTTCGCATTCTCACCTGCTGATACTCGAGTATATTCTGTCGCTGAATGTGCGCCAGCTTCGGATCGACACTGCTGCTGGTGGCAAATTGGGAATAGGTTTCGGCATTGTAGGGTATCAGCACCATCGTCTGATGATAGTTACGCAACGGCGGCGGCGACTCCGGCCGTCGGGTGGGGCTACGTGCAAAGTGGCTGCTGTAGCTGCTGTGCTTGCTCTGCTCGATGGCCGTTGCTGTTGCCGTTGCCGTGACGCTCTGGCAGTTCTGTGCCGCCGCATACAGCAGTGAGGCATCGTCGGCGGCGCCCTGCTGTATCATGGTCTGTCGGAACATGGCGCCAGCCGGCAGCGTCTGGTAGTAGGTCTGCTGTATGGCAGCCGCAGCCGCCGCGTCCACCGGAAAACGTTGCTGCTCTCCGCTCTCGCTGTAGAAGCTCCAGGTGCGCTGCTCCGTCTTCTGCTGCGCTATGGTGTTCGCCTGCAGCGCAGCGGCCATTTGCTGTTGCAGTTGTTGCTGCTGCTGTTGTTGCTGCTGTTGCTGCTGCTGTTGCTGCTGCTGTTGCTGCTGCTGTTGCTGTTGCTGCTGTGGCACATTCTGCGGCGAGGGGTTCTGCTTGGGCTGATTGGGCATGGCGTAGCCCTTGATGGCCTGCGGCACCGGCTGGCTACTGATCACCGTTGTGGGTATCTGCTGAGTGAGCTGCTCCTGCATCTGGGCGAGAATCTCGTTGGTGGAGCTGAACTTGGGCTTGATGCCGCGCACCGAGGGTCGCTTGTTGAAGCCATAATCGTTCTGCTCATCGTCGTCGCTGCTCGCCTGCGACTGGGACTGCGATGCGCTCTCCACGCCCGTGTAGCGTTTCTTCAGCTGCTCCGTGCGCTTGGCCTCCGCCTGGGCAAAGGCGGCCAGTTCGTCCTGCTGTGTTGTCTCCTGGCCGGGTGTGCCCGCAATTACATCCGGCGCCACCTTACGTGCCTCATCCCCACCGCCAGCAGCTCCGCCGCCCGCACCACCAGCTCCTGCGCCAGCTCCAGCTCCGCCGCCTCCTGCTCCTCCGCCCATGACCAAGCCCTGTGCCGCCATCGCTGCAGCTGCCGCCTGCTGTGCCGCAGCATCGCCAACGCCCGCTGCCGCCGCCGCTCCCAGCAGCTGGCTCATGTTGTAGTCAGCTGCGGCCGCTGCAGCCGCATAATGGGCATGCGCATGCGCCGAGTGCCCATGCTGATGGGCAGCCGCTGCTGCGGCCAGCGTGTAGTAGGAGGACAGATCATCCTTGTTGCCGGCCACGCAGGCTGTCAGCGGCGCCAGTGTCGATAAGAATTGACGCTTCGGCTCGTTTTGGCGCGGCGGCGTTCGATGGATTTGTGTGTGCACCACTGGCACCTGGATGCCCATGCCCAAGTCTGGGGCGGCCGGGCAGCGGCATTCCTGGGAAAGAGGAAGATGGAGATGAAAAGTGTTAATGATCAAAAAATTACTGGCAATTAAAACTGTGCGATTTGGATATATATCTGTAGAGCGGCTCTCTTTGCGATTCTCATTAAATAAGCTCTCAAGGCTGTTATGCACGTAATATAAGATGATTGCAATGATCAACTTTTTTCCAAGCGCATAGCCATTAATTTTCACAATTTTAGGTGTATAACAGTTGTATAACACTTGTATAACAGTTGTATTACACTTGTATAACAGATTTTAAGCGCTTGTATAACATTTATATTCATGTACTTTTTATATAGCAGACACAATAAAATATTTAAGCTGTACAACAGTATAACAGTTATTTGCTTGCCTTTCGCCGTGATTTTCATAAACTCAAAGGAAATTTAAAGCTCTTCAAGCTTCTGTAGGTTTGTTTAGTAAACCCAAAACAACAAATCTTAAGACTTTCAGCTGTATAACAGTTGTATAAAAGTTGAAAGACAGTGGAAATACAACCAAAAACTCATTTATAAACATTTGACTCTAAAGTGCATCTCATTTTTATGCATTAGGCAAGCTTGCCCCTCTCTGCAATTCTCATGAATACAACAAGTTAGTTCCTCTAGCTCCCTCTCCCTCCAGCTGCCAAAGTGCGCTTACCTGTGGTATGATAACAATAGGATTCTCCTCCAGCTCCATGATCTTCTCCTGCTTCTTGTCGCGACTAAAGATGTCGGCGATTTTCTTGTAAGCCGACGAGCCGCTGGACGAGCTGGAGACGGAGCTGCTGGGCGAGAAGCTCTTCTCGCCGTTCATGAATTTGGGCGCAAGCGTGTTGGGGTTCTCCTCGCCGGCGGGACTGTCGCGCTGTGCCAGCTCCGAGCAGTCGCGGTCGCTGGCCAAATCCTGATCCTGATCAGCATCGGCAACGCCGCGTGACAGCTCCTCGACCAGATCCTCATCAATGTCGCAGGTCAGCTGCTTTATGCGCTCCTCCAGCGAAATGTCCGACTTGACGGCCTTTTTCCTGCAATGGGAATAGTGGAAGAACATGAAAACTCTGATTGTCTGAGCTAAGCTTCAGTTGCACTCACTTGATCAAAGAACGCCGGAGTATGTTGCGCTCCATGCTGCGCCGCAAGGTATCCGAGTCGCCGCAGCTGCCGGGCAAATGGGTGACCAGGCAGCCGGCACGCTTCGACTCATCGAAGGCGCGCAATGCCTCCGAGGTGAGCACCGGCGCCTGTTGGGCCGAGACGCTGGGAAACAGTTGGCGCACCGCCGAGTTCGGACGCAACGCATTATTGAACAGTGTCGAGTGCTTCTTAATGGGTATCAGCTCGTTGATCTGGTTCTCGCTATCATCCAGCTCGCCGCACAGCGACTGACCATCGCCATCGGTGCCGGCGTTCGCCTGATCCTCGGTCACGAAACGCACCGAGCGCTTCGTAGCGCCACTTTCGTCCTCTGAGGTGGTGTTATTTTGGTCATCCGATTGCTGGTGATTGAAACGTAGATCGAAATGATTGTTTTGCATTATGTTATGCGTTTGTAGCTTCCTGATTGATTGATTGACTGACAACAGCTCTGACTGATTGACTGTCTGTTTAACAGGAGACAGACTAGCTACCCGACGGTTTGTCTATCTCTTATAGCTTGCTCGCCTGATTGATTATCTTATTAAATGATTGTCTTTCCACAGCTCTGATTGACGATAGCTCTGATTAGTTTGCTGATTGACAGACTATCTGACAGGAGACAGTTTTCTTACTCTCTGATTGTAGGATTGTTTACAGCTCGGAAGACGCAGCTTCAGAGCTGGCACGCTGATTGACCATCTAAAAGACTGATGAATATATGCTTTGATTGACTGATTTGCTCTCTGTTTGCCTGAGTGCAATAGACTGATTGATTGACTGTCTAAATAAATATTCGTCTCTACGTCTATCTCTAACCGAATCATTTATTGATTGATTGACTACTAAGCGGCTATCTGATTGTTTGATTGATTGCCTTACTGCACTTGACTTCACTGCTAGATGATTGACTTGGTTAATTGACAGACCTGAATTAATTAATAGTTGATTGACTTAACTAACTGAAAAGCCCAACTTCATTATTCACATGGATTGATTGATTGATTATAGCTTCACTCACCTGCGAAATGGAGTCCTGCTTCCAGAGCTTGCCGCCCTTTAATATACCGCTGATCTGTGTGGTCGTTGTTAGCTCCTTGGGCGGTATGGGCGGCGGTTTCTCCTCATCGTATTGTTCCGAGCCAGCTGCGGAGCCTGCAGCAGCAGTGGCTGCTGCCGCTGCCGCCGCCGCCGCTGCTGCGGCTGCTGTGGCGCTTGCCTTGGCCGGCAGCGCCGGTGGCAGCAAGTCCGCTGCTGGCGTGGAGCCAGCTCCTGTGCCAGTTGAGTTGGCAGCGGCCAGATCCTCGGGCGCTTCGCGTATGATGCGTCGCTCGGTCACTGTGGTCATAGTGGTAATAGTTTCAACAACAAATCTTTTTTTCTTGGCTGTGCTACTGCCCGCTGCTGGCACCAGGCTGGTGCCGTAGCCGGAACCGGTTACGGATACGGAACCGGGACTAGAGCTTGCGGCGGGCTTGCTGCTACTGCCCGATTCCTTTCTAACTTTGACTGTTATTTATTTACACACATACACACATACGCACACACACACGCGCGCACGGAGCACGAAGCACGAAGTTCAGCATTCACATGCGGCATAGTCAGAGAGAGCGGCATATTTGGTTGTAATTGTTATACGAAATAGAGCATTGAACAGATTTGCATTGACAGGTGGCAAAGAGACAAACGTGGTTAGTTGGGAGAGCAGTGGATGGGCGGACGAATGAGCGAGGTCGAACGATTGATTGCGAGCAGCTTTGGCTGCAGCTTCAGTGTGCAGTGTTAATTACACTGATATTCTCATTGGTGTATAACAGATGTACGGCAGCTGTAGATCAACGACCAAGGGATCGCAAACACAACATCTGAATAATAGTTATAAAACAGTTGTATAACAGTTATAACAGTTGTATAACAGTCATATAACAGTTGTATAACAGTTGTATAACAATCATATAACAGTCGTTTAGCACATATTGAAGGTTTGATTACAAATTGTATAGCATCAATATAACAGTCGTATAACAGTTGTATAACAATTATTTATAACATCTGTATAGCTGTCATATAATAGCCGTATACACCAATTGTATAACACATTAGAAAATTTCATTCAGCTGTATAACAGTTTTATAACATATGCACAAATCGCTTTGTATGGCATGATTGAACAATTTCACTTTCTCTTTCGATCTGCAATCTGCCAATTGTCCAAATTGAATGAATGCTCCAGGAGGGGATTACTTTAGATTGACTGATGTAAGCCATGTATACTCTATGCCATATCTAATATTGAGAGATGATAATTTGGAAAGTTGGCAACGAATGATGAATGGAACTGCTGCTCTGTGCTATGACCGCTCAATGCCAATTGCAGGAATATTGCAAAGAATGAGTTAACAAATGCTGAGCAAATTCGGGTTTGGGTGCTGGGCGAGTGGCGTGAGATGGATGCAGCGATGCATGTAGTATAGCGAGTATATGCAGCGATACACAAAGCTAATGAGGAATTTGTTGAGCTGAATTGGGAGAGCTTACCTGCTGCTGCCGCTGCGGGCTTGTATTGGGATTGAAGCACATATTTGGGACGCTCCTCGCCGGCGATGATCTCCTTCTGCGTGATGCGACGCTCTGGTGAGCTGGTGTGCAATGGCAGCAGTGCCACAGCTGGCACGCCAATGGGCGTCAGCTCTTCGTTGCATTGGGCGGCGCTGCATTCTGTGGAGGGAGTCGCAGAGGGGGGAGAATATTAGATGATGTCATGATTGATTGAGTGATTAATGAGCAGCCCTAGGTCTAGGGCTAGGCCCAACTGCAAGAGCTAGGCAGCTATCGTATTGTACAAACATTTGTATAACAGTTTTTAATACTGTGTCGTTTCATTCCATTTTCCGTAAGTTCACATTTTAAAGGTAAAGTTTGATTTATTTAATATCTTAATTGATTTCAAAAGTTCGACTGGGCCCTTGCAGGGGTAATACACGCTGTCAAACTGTTATATGGAGTATGCCAGTTGGCGGGCCTGTTGCTGCGGCGGAAGCGCGCTTGAAGGATTGCTCTCTTATATGAGGGCGCGGCCAAAGCTCGGGTCCCATGCCCTGGTGCTCGACTTAACTTTGGTGGCTTAGTGGTTCAGTGGTTCCGGCGACTCGTTGGTTCGCTGGCTCTTTGACTGTTAACCGGGTGGGTCACATTCCGCTTCGTTAGGCGCAACAAATAATGTTCAAGGAGGGGGCGACAGACGAGTTCCGTTTTGCTTGCCAATCAATAAAGCGTGACCAAAATTAATGTAAACATCGAGCCTAGCCCGTTCCCTACCTTTCGAACTACAAAAGTATTGCCTGCCGCACAAAAAGTGTCGCTTCTCATATCCTTCTATGGGCAACCCAGAAAGCAAAGCCATAAACAACTACAAAACTTTCGCTTGTTTATCCATTTAGTTAAGTTTCCATAAATCAATCATTGTTAACTTCGACGTCTGCGGCAATGCGGGCTTGCGATGTTCCTCCTTGCATTCGTCTTTTATGCTCGACAACCATGAACTCACTGCAGATTGTTGCACAAAGTGTGGCAAGTGTGGGCTACATATACTCTGTGGGTTGCATATACTCTATCTATGAAAATCTATCAAGTTTGAGTCTGTAATCGAAGGCGTCTTTAACTGGATTGACCTTAATGAGGTAATAGAAATCCTATAGCATTCAAGTTGAGTTCTCTTCGAAATTAGATGTATTACAGTTGTTTGATATTCAACATTTAACAGTATATGGTATGGCAAAAAATCTATACTGCTTGTATAACACTTGCATAACTGTCCTTTAATTCTTATATAAGATTAATTAAAGTCGAATTGAATAAGTCTACATTAGCAGTTATATAACTGGCACATAAGCCAGTTATATAACACTTGTATAACAGCCTTGTCTTAAGCCTTAAATCCCCAATGGTCCGCAATTGCCCCCTAGAACTTCGGGCAGTCGTATTAAATGAAATTTAATTAGCTATTAAATTTCATGGGCCTTCGCTGCGACATAAAAAAATGGCGTCGCATTTATGGCTCGCACCCAATTGGCACGGTCTAGACCCAGCTGATGGCCGGCCGAGGAGCCTGTTTGCATAAATAATTTATGATTAGATTACACAAAGGCAAACGAAAAACGAAAAAGAGCGCTGCTGAATAGAGGCAAAGCCCAAAAGGGCGCAGACGAACCGCGAGAGGACACTCCCCCTCCCTGCGCCCACTCGCCCTGGCTATCCATCTAGCCACGCCCAAAGGGAGGCCCGCTAATTGCATCGGAGCTAGCAAAACATAAACCAAAAGCCAAAGGACATTGGCGCAGTTACCTGCATCCTGTAGCTGCTTTGCGGCGCATTCGGCACACTCGGCGCACTCAGTGCAAACGCCCTGCAGGTCCTCATCGGCCTGCTGCTGCTGCTGCTGCTGGGATGTGGCATGATGCTGTTGTTGTTGCTGCTGCTGTTGTTGCTGCTGTTGTTGCTGCTGCTGCTGCTGTTGCTGCTGCTGCTGCTGCTGCTGCTGCTGAGCGCTGCCCACAGGCGGCGGCGGTGGCGGTACTTGATTGTTGCCATTGCCGTTGCGCGCCGCCAACATTGCGGCACGCTGCTGCTGCAGACGCTGTATCACCTGCAACTGTTGCAGATGCTGCGCCCCAAAGATGTGACCACTGAGCGCACCGCCCAGCGTATTCTTCAAGCTGTTGTCCTTGTAGCCATCCGGTGGACTGAGCGCCGCATCGTCCACAAAGTCGATGGGCGGCTGAAATTTGGGGCTCTGGAAAATAGTTCAAAGAGTCGAATTACACTCAGAGAAATTACGTTTACCATACGAGTTTCGTATTTTCAAAGAGAGCTGTTTTGCAGTTGTATAATAGTTGTATAACAGTTTTACAATAGTTTTGTAACTAAATGACAATTGCTTAACAGTAGTTTTTAGCAATATAACAGTTGTATAACAGTTCTATAACAGTTATATAACAGTTTTATAACAGTCCTATTACCCATGTATAGCAATTGTTGACTGTTGTATGACAGTTTTTGACTACACTTCATTTACAATCCCTCCCGTGAGAGCCTAAACGTATAACACATGAGTAATTCATCTCTTCTTCAGCTTATAACAGTTTTTATACATTTTTTTTCAAGTGTAGCATCAACTTGATGCTAGCTAACTAAGTAAGTTATAGGCAACTAGGCTTCTAGCTACACGTAATTGCGCGCCCGCTCGCAAATTAAGCTAATTGAGTTTTATAGCCAGACGGCATGGGGGCGCTACATGAATACATATGCATGTATGTGTATGTGTGTGAGTGTGAGTGTGTATATGCGTGTGGGTGGCTGTCTGGCTGATGAACTGTGTGTGCTCGTAAATCTGTGTTAAGTCTCCTCGGCGGCTGTGCAGGAAACTAATCATAAGGCAGTGACCGTTGCTTGAGTATAACACTTGTACGGTGCGGCGCTTAATTACTGTCATTATAGTTATATAATAATTGACATAGCAATTCGATGTTTTGGCACCTCTACGACACATGTATAACAGCTAGAAAAGTGCAAAAATGTATTCAGATATTTCATAACAAGTAAAACTTGTTTGCTCTGAAAGCATATAAAAGTCATTTAACATATATATATAACAGTTTTAGAGGTTGCTCGACAGTCTGTTAATTATATAGTCATGTTCTTAATCTACTTCAGCTCTAATATAACAGTTGTATAACAGTTTTTAAAGCTCAAATTGATCAAGTGTTAAATGTATATGGCTTTACGCTCAGCCAAGTGGAATTTTGTTGTAAATATATGAAATATACATGTATAACAGTAATATAACAATTCCATAGATAATTGCCGGCAAGTTATGTTTGTTTAATGCCCATGTGAGTCTGTTATATTTAACTGCATACGTATAACAGTCGTATGACAGTTGTGTAACAGTTTCTTCTTGTTCACTTAATGCCTATGTGAGCCAGTAATGTTTGACTGCATACGTATCACAGTCGTATGGCAGTTGTATAACAGTTTATTCTTTTTCAGTTACAATTTCCAAAGCCGCCTATTAGCTGATTATCTAGCGCTAAAGCACAGCCACAAGCCGCAAGACCAAGGACACATACACACACACATACATACATGCAAAACACATGCATTTGTAAGTGCAAATAGAAGTACATTTAACACAATGCATTTGCAATTGGAAACAAAGTCTAGGCCAAAAGTTCGCTGTGGCTGCCTCTGCCTCTGGGCCAGACAGAACAGGGCAAGGCAATCAAGTTGCCAAGAAGTTTCTTCTCTTTTTGTTTTGCTGAGTTCTTCAGGCAGTGCCTCATAAAGCAAAAAGCCGCGCACATAACGTTGTGTGTGATTGTACGTGTGTGTGTGTGTGGGAAAAGTCAAATGGAAAATGGAAAATGGCAAAGTCGTAAGAGCGCAGCTTGGCCATAAAGATTGTCAAATTTTCTTGCGGGTTTTTGTTTTTCAATTTACCTGAGAGAATTTGCATGGAGGTGTATTGGCAATATGCATACATACATACACATGTATGTGTATCAAGCCTCTCTCTTCCATTCATTATTTCTCCGATTTTATGTCAAGCTGTTAAAATTCTGCTGTTAAAATTTCAACTGAATTTGTTTTAGTTCAGCTTTGATCATTGCAAATATAGATCTTTACTGTTATAGGCGTGTGAGATGAACTTTATAACAGTTTCTAAATTTATCCAATAATACCTTTATCTAGTACTAGCTGGATCTCTAAAAATTATATAAATATCTTGACTGTTATATATCTTTCTATTAATTAATAATTTGTATAACAGCTTTTACTCCATGTTTTCCATTCTTACTTTCGGATACTATAGAGGGCTTCTATGTTAATATAGCTATCATAACAGCTTTACAGCTAATGCTTGTAAGTGTATTTGCTTAACTGTATAACAGCTTTTACTTGAAATCTTCCCTTGTTATTCTTGTATACTACAGAAGCTCCTGCTTCTGTTGCCATATATACTGTATATTTACTGTTATATGCATATAAGAGCACTAGGTAAGCTGTATAACACTTTCTTCTGCATGTTTTTCTGTGTTATATTTGTCTACTTGATAAGCATTACCTCTTGATGCTTGTTCTTGCATTGAATAAATAAAAATAAACTGTCATATAATATGTAAAAGTATTTAAAAATTTGTATAACAGTGTTTACTGTAGGTTTGTCTCTGTTGATTATGACTAAATAATTTCTGTTTGCGATGGCCTAATATCATATATCTACTGTTATATAACTATAAAATCCTTTGATAAGTTTTATAACAGTTTCGACTCTATGCCTTCCAGTTCTGCTTCTGGCAACTATAGATCCTAGTTTGCTGTCACTCACAAGTCATATAAATACATTCCAATACATATGTGTTGAACTGTTATATACCTGTGGGAGTATTTGACATGTGGTATGACAGTTTTGCACCCAGCACGTTTTGTTGGCCTTTCCCTTTGTCTGCAGCTCGAGTTCCGTTTGGGTTATGCAACGCGTTTGGTAAACTTGTTACATACACTAAATGCATATTAAACTCTTGAGAGCCAACACACCTACACACAGAGAGAGAGAGAGAGAGAGAAAGAGGATGGCAGAGGCGAGGCGCACACAGACTGGAATCTTAGGCATTTGCCACATGCTTGAGCAGCGCCAAGTCAAGTGCATTGGGCGGCCACCCACTCTGGCCAAAGCACTCAGACAGACGGACAAACAGACAGACAGACAGAGGGACAGAGGGACAGAGGGACAGAGGGACAGACAGTGAGTGGGGCGTATTGTGTGTGGCCAGAGAGGGTGCGGGGGTGTGCCAGCAGGACATTTGCCATGGCAGATAAGCAAAAAAGAGGCGCACTCAAGTGACGCTCATGTGGCAGAAAATTGAAATTTAAACGCAGCTCGAGGGCCGCTTAGAATCGATGCAAAGGCAAAAGCAACAAAAAAAAAATGAAAGAAAGAGAGAAAGAACTTAAAGAGTGCATGACGTATACGTAATGGGCCAAGAAGCAAGAGGAGAGCGACAGAGAGAGAGAGAGAGAGAGAGAGGAGGGAAGGGGAGGGGAGGGGACAGCAGGCAAGTTGCTGCGACAGCAAACCTTGCGAATGTCCTTAGCAACATGAAACGCGTACATCACGATAAAAGGCACAATTTCATAAAACAATATATCAGTGATATATATATATACAAATATATATATAAATACACACACACACACACACACATACACATGCAACAATGTTGCTAACGTGCTAGAAGTCACTTGAGCTGCATTTTGTGTAAAAGTTTTTAAGTGATTTATACACCACTTGCACCAGGATAACGAAGGCGTGGTGGAGCGGTGTGGGGTAGAGACTCGAGCTAACTACAAACTTGCTAGCAGCATCTACAACAACACGAACAACAACAACAACTTGCAACTTGCAACTTGCTACTTGACTTGCCTTCACTGCCACTCGAGCTGCAAGCCGAGCCGAGCCGAACTGAGCTGAGCTGAGTGAAAACAGGATGCCAGGAAACAGGATATGAAATTTAAACAATAAATGTATATACATATAAATATAGTATATATATACATTTATATATCTGTATATAGATTATAAAACTCAACTCAATGCAGTGCAAAGCAAAATATGACACGAAAAACTTTGTTCAATTATAGTTGAACAATTGTTTTGTTGTTGCTCATAATTGACAGAGCGCACAGTGGGGCAAAATGGCTCGTAAAGTGGGTGAAGGTGAAAGTATTGCATGGACCGAGGCTGAAGTGGAGCTTAAGTATACATGTACATATATAATGATATATTATAAGCAAGTTGAAAAGGTTGAATGAGACATAGAACATGGAAAACATTGGGCAAAAGAGGAGAAAAGGACGAATGACTACAGAGTGAAGTCTAAGGACTAAAGTCTAAGTTGAAAGTAGTAAGATGGACAACTGAAGATGGAAGTCTTTAGCTGGATGAGTAAAGAAGAGTAAAGAAAGAAAATTGAAAACTAAGGACTGAAGAAGGAAGGATAAAGACTGAAGAATGAAGACTGAATACTGAAAACGGAAGGATAAAAACTGAAGAATGAAGACTGAATACTGAAAACGGAAGGATAAAGACTGAAGGCTAAAGACTGAGCTCTCAAGACTAAAATCTATGAACTGAAGACCAAAGACTGGAGATTGATGATGAAGATTGAAGATTGAAGATATAAATATTGAAGAATAAAGCCAGAAGACTAAAATCAAAGTAAAACCTGAATCAAGATGCAGTTGAGCAAAAAAAAGGTAACTTAATTTTTAGATATAAGAATATATATAAAATTAATGCTAACTCAAAAAAACTTAGGCACTGTCAACTGGAACCTTCGGCTTAGGCAAAGTTTAGAACAAAGCGAAACATGGAGGAAGAAAGAAGGTAAAGGCCAAAGACTAAAGATTATAGATTGAAGCCTTGAGACAAGGGAACATGTGAAACAGAAGAGATAAAAGAGTATTTAGAGAGACATTAAATAAAGTGAACAAAAAGGACATCGGACAAGGGAGCGGGAAATACGGCAGACTTTGTGTCACATAAAAATCCAAAAACCCAAGAAGAATTCGCAGAAAAATGCTAGGGATTTCAAGATATGAACATGGAGGACACTGAAATCTGGAAACGAAAGCTTAAAACTGAACATGGAGAACTTGCCCTTAGATTGGAAATGCACTAAAAGGACTGCCTTTGGCTAATCAATCAACAGTTAGAAATATTTACCCAGACAGAGAGAGAGAATGATAAAAGTAGAAGGCAGCACTACTGTTATAATGAATACATATTTTTAGGTTATTAAAAGATACAAGCTGTTTAATATTTATCTCGAAGATGAGAAAGATGACCAAAGAGTATGCAGATAATTATACAGGGATTAAAGAGTTCTACTATAATTAGCCTAAAACTAGTTACAATAAAATGAACATTGCTCAAATATGTGTAGATCAAATAGAGCCAAAGACAAGCTGTTAAATATTTAACCAGATGATGGATGAGAGAGGTGACCAAAGAGGTCAAATATTATACAGTAGAGCCTATAGAGCTCTACAACTATGAACCTAAGTCTAGGTAAAAGTAAAAAGTAAAGAGAACATTGCTTAAATATATGTAGATCAGATAGAGCCAAAGACAAGCTGTTAAATATTTAACAAGAGGATAAGGGAGGTGACCAGAAGGGCTAGAAAATTGATTGTAGAGTAGGCTAGAGTAGTTCTACTATCATTGATTTAAGTTTAGTTAAAAGGAAAATGGTCACCTTATGTATAGATCTTGTTTAGCTCTAGACAAGTTGTTAGCGTACACTGATTATGTTAAATATTTAACAGTAGGCAAGTTAAATGTTATATGCAGAGCACATGAATACTCTGTAAAATGTTTAGCAGGAATTTAAGCCCAAATCCCGAATTTGACAGACGAAATAGAAGCAAAACTTCGGAAATAATTGCCAGCAGTGGCTAGAAATATATTGGTGATGTTGTCTGACAGCTCGACACGAAGTTGGCCAAAAGGTAAACTAGAGAGAAAAATCAAAGAAAATTAGGGAAAACCAAGGAAAATCAAGAAAATGCAGAGCAAATGGAAAATGTGTTTTAATGCTCAACTATTAAGCTGGCTGTTAACGCAACTCTCAATCTCACTAGCTCTTTGCGTGTGCGTGTGTGTGTGTGTGTGCCTGTCTGAGTGTTGCCTACTTTTGTGCTGCGTCACACACACCAATACACCAATACACCAACACACAGACATGCCTAAGCTGCCTTAAGCACTTCAACTTTGCTCACTTGTGCAACTCGTCGCTTAATCCGCTTAACGTGTGTGTGTGTGTGTGTGTGTGTGTGTGTGTGTGTGTGTGTGTGTGTGTGTGTGTGTGTGTCTCAGAGTCTATCTGTGTATGTGTGTGTGTGGCAGCTACTTCTAACTGCCAGCAACTCGCTCACTATTCCTCTCCATCTCCCACTTTCTCCCTCTCCCACACATTCACCCCTCCCCCCCCCATCGCTCTCTTTTCAACGTTCTGCACTCACCTGTGGCGTTCGTCCATCGGCCGCATCAGCGGCACTCACCGCATAGTTGCACTGGCAGCCCTCCTCACAGCAGAGCCGCACCAGCTCATGCTCGCCGCAGGTGCAGGGCTCCTCGTCCTCCTCATCGTAGGCGCAATCCTCCCGTATCAATATGATATAGTCCGCTTCGAAGAATTCGTTGCGTGTCTCATCGAAGACGACGCGATTTTTACGCACCGGCGGCGGACGATTTGGTTTCTTGAGCAGACCGCGCAGCTGCCCATTCATTTCGCGCATCTTGAGCACGTTCGCTGTGGCAATTGTTGCTGTCGTATCAGTTGTTGTTGCTGCTATTGCTGCTGCTGCTGTTGCTGCTGCTGTTGCTGCTGTTGTTGATGTATTATTGTTAACGATTGCACTCGCTGCTGCTGCTGTTGTATAAGTTGCTGCTAGAACTGTTAGGCACTCATTGCATTGGCACACGCTTTCGCTCTCGCTCTCGCTCTCACTCTGCTCGCTCTCGCTCTCGCTAATGCCAACTCGCTCTTGCTGCTGCTGTTGCTGTTGCTGCTGCTGCTGCTCGCTAACAAATTCAGCGAGCAACTCGTCGTAGCACTGATAGCCGCGTCGCTGCTTGCTGCACTCGGACAGCGGCTCACTCGGAGCTCCGGCGCTCGCTCTAATGTCGAGCAATTGCAATTGTCTCGCTGCCTTCAAATAGTCGCCAAAGCGTTGCACATCGAATTCGCTAAGTGACGCCACAAAATTGCCACTCGATGAGCTGCAATTGTTGTTGCTGCTGTTGTTGTTGTTGTAGCTGTAGCTGTTGTTGTTGTTGTTGTTGCTAATGTCGTTAACTGTGGGCACAAAGGCGCTGCGTATTGTTGTTGCTGCTGCTGCTGTTACTGCTGTTGTTGTTGTTGTTGCTGTTGTTGCTGGTGTCTCAATTTCAATCAGCACCTGGCTGCTACTCTCGCTGCTGCTGCTGCTGCTATCAGCCAAACTCTCACAGCGCACGCGCTCTGCAATTTCTTGCTGCGTATTCAGCAATTGCTGCTGCTCCTCCTGCTCCAGCTGCTCTTGCTCCTGCTGCTGTTGTCTACTATTTGCTTTGGCAATTTGTTCATTAGCAATGTCTTGTATACAATTTCGATTTAATTGTATTGCACTTGAGCCTGGGGCCACGGCCAATAGCGCGCTTTCAACTATTTTATTGTCCTGCAAAGCGCTGCTGTTGCTGTTGGGTGTTGCTACTCCTCCTCCTGCTACTGCTAGTGCTGGCTGTGGGGGTAGTTTCTTTGTTGTGCTTATTGTCGCTGTGCTGGCATTTAGTTGTATTAGTTGCTGTTGCTGTTGCTGTTGCTGTCTCAAGGATGCCTTTACACAATCATCAACTACAACAGCCTCACCACAGCTGTTGTTGCTGGCAGAGCTGCTGCTGCTACTGCTACTGCTGCTGCTGCTGTTAACGCGTCCCTGAAAATTATGCTGTAAGCGCTTGAGCCTTTGGCTGGCCACAAAATCCTCGGTCAAATCGTCACCGAAATCAATAAGATCCTTATCGTTGCAGCTTGTTGCGCTGCTCGTTGCTATCGTCGCCTCCTGCTTATGCCCTAGATCATTGCTATCGCTGAGCTGTTTGGAATTGTTCGATAGTTCTGCTTGATTAGAGCATTGCTCGTTACGTTTGGCGTCAGTCGCGTGCACTCGGCCAGCAGCAACATTCGTCGCTGGCAATTGCTGCTGCCATCGGTTGTCTAGCTTCAAATATGGCAATGACAATGGCACCTCCTTCTGCTGGTGGTGGTGTTGCTGCTGCTGCTCCTCCTCCACCAACAACAACAACAACGATTGCTCGTCACTATCACTAGACTCTTTTGTTGTTGTTGTTGCTGCTGTCGCTATGTCGCTTTGCACATTTTCACTCGAATTGTTAAAAAAATTGACATTTAAATCATTTTCACAAATTTTTTGCACAAATTTTTCTGTACGTCGCGCGTCGCTGTCAGCGTCGTCGCCAGCTGCGCTGCTCGCGTCGTTCTTATTAGTAGTAAAAAAAAATTCTTTCTGCTGCTGCTGCTGTTGCTGTAGCTGTAGCAACTGCTGCTGCTCGCTTTGGCCAATATCGTTGCTAATTTTACAATCTTCAATTTGCACAAGATTTTCAACAATTTTCAACAATTTTTGATTTTGGCCAAAATTTGTTATTGGCTGCTGCTGCTGCTGCTGCTGCTCAGCTGCGCTTGCTGCGACGACTGCTGCTGCGGTTGGTGGTGCTGCTGCTGCTGCCGCTGCTGCTGCTGCTGCTGCTGCTGCTGCTGCTACTGTGAGTTTGGCTTTGAAAAGCTCACTGCCAATTGTAGGTATTGAGCAGGCGCTGTTGTCGCTCCCCATGCCTTTGGCATTGCTGGTGCTGGTGCTGCTGCTGCTGGTGCTGGCTTGTGTTGTTGCTGCTGTCACATTGGGTGGTTGCTGGCCATGGCCAGCATGCTCTGCGTTTGCGCTCACGCTCACGCTCTCACGCTCGACTTGCGCGCGCTCACAATTGCTGACAACTTCCGCTCCTGTGTTGCTGTTGTTGCTGTGCTTGTTGTCGCTGTATTCAGCACGCGCATGCGCCTGTGTTTGCATGTCACTGCTATCCGCTGACTGGCACGCCTCCTGCCAGCCCCGCACGACGCCCTGCTGCTGCTGCTGCTGCTGTTGCTGCTGTTGGTGCTGGGGCTGCCACGCACAATGCGCCTTGTATTGCACGCCAGCAACATTAACTCGTGAGCTGCGTGCCTCGCATGCCAAATCGACGTCATCAGTGCCATCAGCAGCAGCAGCAGCAGCAGCAGCAGCCACATTTAAACCTTGTACACCGTTAGACATGTTGCCCGCTGCAATCAGAGCTGCTGCTGCCGCCGCGGCGGCTGCCTCAATTGCAACAGCAATATGCTCATTATTGCTGCTGCTGTTGTTGTTGTTGCTGTTGTTGTTATTGCTGTTGCTCTTATAATTTGCATCTTCATTATGTTTGCTAAGCGTTTTGTTAGCCATCGCTGTTGCCGTCATTTTGCTGCGTTTCGCTGCTTCATCACACTGCTCCCGCTCTCTCTCCCTCTCCCGCTCCCGCTGCCGCTCCCTGTCCCGCTCCAGCACGCTCTGTCCGTTCGTTAAGGCCAGCGTTAGCATGTCCACAATCAGCATAGTTGCTGCCGTGCCAGCGCCAATATATGCACATATACAGCGACAATCGTCATTCAAGCTGCGAATTGCAATTCACAATTAGTTCAAGCAATAAATGAAGAAATTAGCACATCATCATCATTATCATCATCATCGTAGGAGATACTAGATAATCAATAATAAACACAATTATCGTACAATAAAATACTTTCCACGGTACCGTTAATAGCACCCCAACGTTTTCTAGATCGTGCATTTCCCATTCCAATTATAATTAGTCTATCACGCTTCGACCTAACCTCATTTATGCGCACATTTCACTCGAATCCTAATGGAGGAATGATTTTCCTACCTATATTTTATTTTTAAGACAAATTGAATTAACTTTAGAAATGTAATCTATATTGAAACAGGTATTTGGAATATTTTTATAATTGTATCCTCTATAGAAAAAAATGAATTTTTATCAACATTTTAAAAATATTTTGAGGTTGTTTTTTTTTTTTTTTTTTTAAGGAAATTAATTACACATATATTTTAAAACGTCTTAAAAACAAAAAAAAGAAAATGTATGCAATATTTTCGGCACTTTAAATATTTTCAGATTTTTCTATGGGAAGTATTTTTGAAAATATATTTCGAAAATTTATTCGTAAGAAATATTTTTAAAAATATTACGAAAAATGTTTTTAAAAATATTACAGATAATTTACATTAAATAAAAAATAGTTGTTTCAATATTTTTGTTTTTAATAGTTGAAAATAAAGTAATTAGAAACATAAATAAAAAATAACGTTAGTGTTACATCATATTTCCTACTATTATAAGTGTAAGCAATCAAAATATATGTATATACATACATACATGTACATACATATATATTTGATGACAAGTTCCGGTTGTTAAGGTAAAAATTTGCATATTCAAATTGTGTTGGACTGCTTCATTGATACGCTGACAAAATGTGGGAGTTTTTCTTATCGGAAACTCTCACACAGAAAAATAAAGTGAAAACATTTACCAACAGGTAAATGCGACCTATGCTCGAGCAACCAGTTGAATTTTCCACTTAACTAACCATATTTTATTATATTTCTAATTTTTGCATAAATTATAAAATTTACCGGCTAACAAATTTCGACACAAAGTGTTGTTTGTTGTTGTTGCTGGGTTGACACAGAAAAACAGGTGCGCGAGTGCAGCCAAGCGCATCCTGCGCTCAGGATGTAGCCCCACAGCAGTGCGCGTGTGCGACTGAGACGGGGGTAGTTGTTAATAGCCGCTCCGTTACGCGCGAATGCAGAGCGAAAGACACCACCGACAAAAAAAACAACAGAAACAAAACAAAAAGACACAAACAAAAACAAAAGCACACACACAGTCACACACACACACACACACACACACGTATGCAACGCGGAAATGTAAACAACAAAAATTACAACGCGCTACGTAAAAATTCTGTGAATTTTTGACTGTCTGCGGCTTTGGGTTGGTTTCAGCGTTCACCGATCGCCGCTTAAGACGCACGTCCGAACGCGTTTCGTGGCGGAAGTTGACTGAGCAAACGCAACTGAAACTCAAAGGCAGCTCGCAACGCTTTCGGCTTTGACGGCGGCTCTCGGGTTGTCTTGAGGCTCGGCTTGAGCTTCGGCAGCGGCTACGATCTAGGCGCAAGCGCAAAAAACTCAACGAGCGCCGAGCAAAAGAAACGACGCCAAAGACATTTGAATTACGGTGATGGAAATGCTTGGCATGTAAGCAGAGCGAATCAGAAAAATAAAGTGATAAAGAGAGAGAGAGGGCGAGAGAGAGAGAGAGAGTGCAGTAGAGGAAGAACAAGCCAGCGGAAGGGCAGCGCTCAGCATTTAGTTAACTAATGAGCGCAACGAGATTATACCTTAGAAATTGTGCAGGTGCAGTGGAATGTAGTTAATAGTTTAGCAAATAACTTTTAACTATTAAAATCATTAATTTAATTTTTAAATTAGTTTTTGTTTTATTTTTTTATAAACAATAAGTATATATTAATACGGTATATCTTTTTATATACATCTATATTTTGGTTTGCCTGTTACATGCCAAGTCTCTAACCATCATGCTCGCTAATTACATTTGTTTATAGGGTATAATTACTGGGCTCGCCTATAGCTCGCATGCACCACGGGCTGTCCCAGCGGCCAGCTGCTGCTTCTGCTGCTGCCGCTACTTGTGGATAGTGCGTGTTGTCGTTGGCAATTATGCGCTGCACTTGCCAGTTGATGTACTCGCTCAACTAACGCTAGCAGAGTATATTCGTTGGGTGCAATAACAACCGTTGTTCAAATTATCTGCATGTTTATACAGCTGATTTGCCAACTGCGAGCGGAATCAACTGAAATCAACTACATTAACTACATTAAAGAATATTGTGAAATGAATCCGCCTGCATTTGCTATATGGACGTGTATTGGGCAGTCGGACTGTGAAGGCCTTGCTCACATGACGCTGGGCAGCTCTATAGTGGGTATCTATCAGCAGCCCCTTCGCGCTGCACCGGCCCCACAGAAGCGACAATTGGCTACGGTGACCGGCGACAGTTTTTCCATGTGTGTGAGAGTGAGTCTGAGCGAGTGTCTATGTGTGTGTGTCTGTGTGGTTTGGTAAAACGTGCTCGTCTCGCGATCATCAAGTGTGCGACGCGGTATTTGTGTGCGTGTGTGAGTATCGTGTACTATGTGTTTCTCTGTTTTACATAGGAAGCAAAGCGGCGTTCGTCTCATAGAAAAAAAAATTTATATAGTTAAGATATCAGCCAGCAAGTTAGGCTTGGGAAAGTCAGTTGAAGCGATAGCTCCATGAAATCTAAAATAGATTAGAATAAAGATATCAAATCGAAACTATCTTATGTCGATCAGTTTATCTAAGACTGCTAGTGGTAGAAATTCATTTGAAGACTTCATTAAAATGGCAAGAAAACAATCGTTGTATAACGGTTCAATTCAATTGCCTGATTTGAGATTGAGGCGAATAGAAATAGTTTAGGATTTTAAGTGATTTTACTTGAGGTTCATCTTATAGAAAGTATTAAATTAGCAAAATGAAAATTTCTCAAAAATACATTCTGAATTTTAAATATAATAGTTTTATATATTATATATTATATGTATATCTTATAAGATCGAAAAAGAATCATACCATTTTTTCGAAACCATGAAAATAAGACATAATAAAAGTACATCATTTGCATCACGAAATATAAAAAAAAAAAAATTAAAGTAAAATACGTGAATTTTTAATATTTCGTGATTCTCAGCTATAATACATATCTATGATATATGCATTATAACCAAAACTAACCTATGTATATATTTATATGTATATGCGTACCTCTAGAGATCTCCGTTTTATTCAAGTTTTCAATAGCTTTTCAAGTATTCTGTTGCTTATGAGGCAAGAGGGACTGCCGAAACAGATCTTAAGCTGGCATTGAAATATGATACTAAGAACTTTGAAGATCGATTACTTAAGCTCAAGTAGCTCCCACGATAATGTGAAGTACTTACAGAGAAGGAGAGAGAGAGAGCGAGAGTGGAGGGGGAACATAAGAATGGTCTTAGTTACAAGATATGCATATGGTAGAGGGCACAAAAAAGAGGGGGCTACGTATGTATATAGGTAGGGGAGATAGTAGGTAGCTGGGTAGGTAGATAGTTACTTCTAAGTAACCCCATATAAACAACGCTCATTACACAGAGCTATAAGCATTGCATGCAGACTTTGGCTGAGAATGAAGAAAAAGAAGAAGAAGAAGAGAATGACAATGATAATGATGATGACGATGATCATGATGAATATGAAGATGATAAGGTCGACGAGAAGGAAAATGAATGTGTGGAGAGCGAAGCTGACTCTGATGATGCAAATGATAATGATGATAAGAATGATGATGAGAATGATAATGATGATGATGATGACAGCTAGTGGCTAAAATGACAAAAAAGGCCAGACAAAAGCAGCACAGATGCAAAAGGGGCGTGGCAGTAAAGAGAAGAGCACGAGCGTATATATATATATAAGTATGTATGTATGTATGTAGGTATGTATGCGTGTGTGCTTGGGGAGTATGGGGAGTGATTGGGTAGCAAAACTTATTACAAAGTAGGAACAGAAGTAAGCAAACTGAATGAATGAATGGAAAATTGTGGGAACAATGGAAGGCAGAGCGTGTGAAATAGCCAACTGCTGATGACGATAATGATGTTGATGACGACGATGATGATGTTGATGATGATGGTGGTGGTGGTGGTGCTCAAGATTCAGATTCAGACAGCGTCTTAAGGTCTGTTTACTGTTTAGCACACAATGGCACCATTAAAGGTCGAATCTCACAGGCAAACTCTGCAAACTTTATATCATCAACACTCGCACACACTAGCTGTCTCCCTTCATCTCGCCATTCCTCTCTCTCTCTCTCTCTCTGCATGCAGCAACTCTTTAGAGTCCATCATAATTGCCATTTTAAAGTTAACTAAAACAAAACATAACTCTTCAATGGATTATGCACATATTTCTAAGCAATTTTCATAAACGTATGTGCGAAATTTTCCTTTGCGTTTTTCCATTCGAGTTCAAGGCAAAAGCCATGAAAATTGTAAAATGGTAATGGAAATGGAAATGGAAATGGTACGCGGTTCGTGCAACAGTTATGACAATGCATTGGGCCAAATGAGTTGGCATTTTAAAGCGTTTGCACTTAGCCATTTGCTCAGGTTCAATGCTTCGGGTGAGGGACCCTACCGGCCATTATCCAGCAATTACTTGCCTCAAATGATCAATTTGCCAACTTTCATGCATACAAATTGATATTATTATTATATTATGTGAAGAAGAGGAAGGGAAAATCGCTATTAATGCATTTTACTAGGAGTTACCCGAAACCCGCAATAATGCATGGACACACGGACAAACACACGTACATACATCCACCTCCATTAGGAACCGATACCATCTCTGGTATCATCCTCTACTCATTCATCATCTTTATCGTCTAGCATCGCCTCAAGCAAGCCAAGTGACAGAGCTTGCAATAAAGTATCGATTCCTTGAATTCAATGCGAAAGTGAATGCACACGTTTGAGTGCATGTGTGCTCACGTGTAGGGCAAGTGCATGCAGGTGGGCTTGGCACGGATTGCCACGTGGCCTTACCAATTGAGCAAACGTTTTCTTAAATGGCTTTTATGCCATTGAAGGACGGAGTTAACTCGTCGTTATAATCTGTAATATATCTGTATGTACATATGCTTTATGGACTCTGCCACGCCTTGTTCTGCATATACATATAGCGTCGTATATCCTTTATGCCCAGAATTGCAAATTTCTTTATGTCAAAATTTTTGTGTTGAAGCTTACTAATATAGATGATAATTATATAGTTCATAGAACTTTATAGGCCTTAATAGATCTTTATATATCATTATAGATAATTATATCTCTTTACATCTCTATAAATCTTAACAAATCTTTAACAATCATACGAAAATGGAATAATTAAACTATAATTTGAATTAATTTATAATATCATGTATATCATAAATATATCATACATGATAAGCCCAAGATATAAAACTTTTTGTGTGTGCCATCGAGCCTACTCCCAGTTTCCTGGTGGCATACATAACTCTTTTCCTCAACCCAATCTTTCGTGACTTTTTCATATAAAGAACCTCTCTTAATTGTTATTTAAGTTTTATAAAAAAAAAAAAAGGTGATCTTATAATTAAAACCAGGTAGATCTAACATTTCCTAAACATGTCTTCAAAAATCTTTAGCGAACAAAAAATTGAAGTTCTCTTTAAATAAAGATCATAAAACTCGTGTAATGTACGCACAAAACATTTAGTTGTAAAAATTGTGCGATTAAAGGGAAATAGCTTACAACGCCACGCCCAACCGCCCATCACACGCACACACACACACACACTTAACACCTTATAGCACTTGAGATGGCTCTGCCTTAGATTGTTCAACAACCTACGGGCATATTAGTATACCCTGCACATTGACTTATGTTAAATAGGGTATGATTAGTTCAAAGCGTAGGTACGTAACAGACTTAAGTATATATCTTTTGTGATTATATTATAATATAATGCTCTCTGTCGTAAATTTACTTGTGTATACAACAAAATATCTACTTACAGGGTATTTTGCAGTTACTAGAAAAGTATTTGAGCATTTTATATGAAAAGATGTGGGAAAACGATATCTTCTGGACCTTCCATTGCGCAATTAGAGCAAGTTTGTTTGATTTTTGCAACTTACAGGGTATCTTCTAGTCTGAACTACACTCCTAGCTGTGCAGGGTATCTTCTGCGTCTATTATCCAAAAGCATGCTCAATTAATCTCTAACGTTTATAGGGTATCATCTAGCTATCTATGTTTGATTTGAAATTATTTGCTTACAGGGTATCTTTTGGGTCTGGCCACTCACAATTAGAGCGCGCCTCTTTGATTTCTTTTCTTCACTTTGACTTTGTCCATTGTCTTCTGTTTGTGTC